TATATATATATATATACACACACATACACACATATATTTGGCGGTCGGTTTGGTCCAAACCGCCCAAAAAAGGTTCCAAACCGCAGACCAGACCGGACCGCCCGGTTTTACTATTTTCCAAACCAAACCAAACCGCCAGACTGCTCAAACCGCCAAAAACGGTCTGGTTTGACTTGGTTTGGCCGGTTTAAGCGGTCCAATGGTTTTTTTGAACACCCCTATATATAGATTGTATAATATATACTTAGGTTCACATGAGAACTATTAAAAATTCAAAACGTGTATATTCATATACAATAAAAATATGTTCACCCCCAATGAGTATATTCATCAGTACATATCTACTATATATGTATCAATGAATGTATAGGTTCTCATGGTTTTCAAAAAAATTTGTGGTTCTCATATGAATAGCCACACATATAATATATATATATATGTACATATGTGTGTATATATATATATATATATATATATGTATTACTCATGAATGCCACTAAAAATCTAGGGGAAGTTGTCGGTATTTACTTGGAAACTTGACTAAGTTCTTTCTTGTGAAGTGACTGAAGCAAGTTGAACCCTAACTTGGCAAGTCTAAGTAAAGATCCGTTGTGAGAAGCTTGTTTTTGGTAGAAAGGAATGTAACGCAAAGCCTCTAGTCTTGGAAAACTTTTCCATAAAGGTAACTTTAGTGTCGCTTGTATTAAAGACGAAAGCGTAGAGTTGCTTCGAAGAGGATCCTTTGATATTTCGTCAAGACGAGAACTTGTAAAAACAAAAGCCTCATCTAGTATAACTTCACCTTGAACCCTCATATACGTTGCCTCATACAACTCAAGCATGCCTTGAACATCATTTGTTAAGGATTCCTTAAAACATCCATTTTCATCCTTATAGTTGCTGAAAACATCTGTGTCATATAACAAATTGTTATTTAGATTCTGTAATTAATTTGTAGGATTAATATTTTGAATATATGGATATAACTTACTAGATGAAACATAGAAGCCTTGTTTTCGTAGAAGTCGAAACCAAAGGGAAGGCCTACCAGCATTCCAGTTATCGCCATACGTATCATAGATATGTTGCAACGATTTCTCTATCTCATCTTCAAAATAGTAGGCTATGCCTAGACGTTGTATCACATCAATCAGTTTCAACAAATTCAGGTGTTCCACTGGAACAGCTAGTGCTGCTACTAAATCTTTCCGCACTTTGTCTTTCAAATGTTCTATTTCTTCCACCT